CAAAATAAGTAACCTATTAGAGCCAAGGTGCGCCAACTGACAAGAGAACCGACAATGAATGTAACAGCCTTTCCAATGCCTATCATCAACTACTACAGAATGGACAATAAGTCAACTCATTCAAAAAATGAAATCAGAACTTGCAATGAAGAGCACATACTTGAGTAAGTGATGTAAACGAGCCAGGCACATCCTTGGAGGTAATTTCAGCAACATAAACAGGAACCTGAGTGGTAATTGGGCTGCAATTTGTGAAAAGATCATTTTACAAAGAGAAAATGATTGGTATATATTAGATTTAATAACATTTTTTTACCTTAATTTTGTTTAAATTAATAAAAATATAACATAAATATAATTAATTTTGTTAATTTTTATATTATATATGATTATATTTTTATATTTATTTTTTATAATTTTAAATTAAAAATAATAAAATTTTAATAAATATATTATATAATACATTAAATAAATATATATTAATTATTATCCTTGGAACGAGATAACTGACACAAAGTTAGGGTCCGTTTGGTGCAGTTTCTCAAATGCTTCAGCTTTTTGATACTATTCATGTTTTATAAGTTTAAATTTTTTTCCTAAAAACTTACATTTTTAAATATTTTTTTTAATTTTAAAAAGATCATAAATAATAAAAGATCAAAATTTTCAAATTCAAATTTTTTATAAACTTTCTTTTTACTCATTTTTTTATATTTCTAAAAGCAATTTTAAAATTTTTTTTCAATAAAAATTTAAACTTATTACTCATAAACAATATAATAAAAGCAAAAACTACAACAAATTCCACCAAACATGTTCACGTACAGGATAGCAGGCCAATGCCACATCCAACTAAAAATCTTCCCCGGTTAAGCCACACGATATTCTGTCAACAGAAAATCAACAACAGAAAATCAACATTGAAAATTGAAAGCTGAAAGTCAACAGAATATTGATTTGGCTCCTACAAAATTTTTCTCAATTAATTTTAGAATCTTATTTTTCAACTAATTTTAGAATTCACCTTATAAATATTATATAATTTGAGTTATATAATACTTATTTTTATTTTTATTATTAGAAATGCTTTTCATTATTTTATATGGTTTACAAATTGAGGAAAGTATCCAGGAAGAATGGAAAACCTTTGAGAATGATACCGCAAGCCATCCTATAATGCAAAAATTTCTGAAATTCTCATAGCCTGGATAACATTGTAAAGCAATATATCAATCACTGCAAAGTTCAAAATTTTCAACAATTCTTGACACTAAAATTGAAAGCAATAAAGGAAGAAAGCCTACATATTTCAGCCCAACAATGTCTGTAACCCTGCCACTCAACACTGCCCCAATCATCCCTCCAATTTGTCAATACTGAAGCAAATAACGAATACTGCACTAATGAAAAAAAGAATGAACAATGATTGGTACATCATTTGGTTTAACACATTACACAACATACTTTGATTTAACTATTAAAATTTATTTTTGAAAATTTTTTCATCATAAATTTAAATTTGAAAATAATAGTTTCTTAATAAGTATACTATAGAGTATGTTGAATCTAATGATGTATTAATTATTTTTCAAAGAAAAATTATGAAAAAAAATAAAAGAAGTTCCTAACCTCTACGTATTAAAAAATAAATAAATAAATAAATATAGATGAAATGGTTCACTTTTTTGTGAAAATTTAATAAGTGAGTTTTAACAAAACCCTTGTATTTAAGTTAAAATCAAGTGATTTTAAATCACATATATTTCTTATTATATTTTGAGATGAAATTTACCACTCAAGAACTAGATCATACATGTGGTGCACCCATTATTAATTAAGTAGCAAAAAGAAGCAGCACATGTCACTATAAGAGTCCTACCTCAACCATCGATATGCCAAGATCATCCACGATCCCGGTTTCAGCCAGGGATGAATATCCTATCTGCACAATCACATTAATATTTTGTATCCACAAATATGGGAAATAATCCCTAAACACAGCATTCATGACATACTGCAATCCCAAAAACAAAAGACCCACAAGCTAGCAGCAACAAGGGTGCTGAAGACAACCATAAAGGCTGCATTTTGATCATGACGCTTGCATTCTTCATCATCTGGATTGGCCCTTTCCTTGACAAGGAGTGTCCTTACGAATTCTTCTTCCCCAATGTTAACTATCTCCATCTTTGACCATATTGATAAATTATAATGCTCGACTGAAGAACTGAGGTAGAGAAATGAGAAGCCGGGAAATATGAAGGAATGGTTTGATTTTGCAACGAAAGAGTGGGAAACAGAAAGAGAAGGGCTGGTGAAACTATACCAACCGCAACAGGGTTGGGTCATGTCGATAACAAACTGGCCGATTTAATTATTAAAACATATTTAAAATATAACAAATTTAATTAATTCTTATATCTTATATGTGTAATTATATTTTTAAATTTTTAATTTTAATTTCAAACAAAAATAATAATAACTTTTTAATTAATATGTTATATAATATGTTAAATTAAAATATATATCAATCAATATTCTAT